ATTAGAAGTCGATTATTATGCTATTGCCGGTAAGCTTTGGATCGTAATTTATTTCGAACAAGAAAAGTACAGAATCTATAGCACACATCGCACAACGAAACGTGAAATTTTGAGTTCATATCGCCAAGATTCGTTTGCCTTGGGCCTGTGATGCTGATGAGATATGTTCATCGACCAAGAATAAATGGACGATCTTCCACTTCGAATTCCAAGGCAGCGGCATGGTCACCCTTCTGTTTTCGACCTGCCAGTATAAACACGATGGATGCAGAAAGATAAATGACGAATACCATCCACGCCAGTATCGTCGAATAGCCGAAGCTCATACAGCGGAGATAATTGCCGTAAACAAGAGGGTGGTTCTCCTTGGACATCGCTTTCCAGTTGTTCACGGAATGACTGATAGTCTCGATGGTTACAAAAATGCACATCGCTGAAAGGACAAAGATAAACGTTAGCGTTTTCACATGTGAAATACATTTCTCATAGCATATTTTTGTTTAATAGCACAAATTTTGTACTTCCTATGCTTCAAGCCTCAGATTTCCCTTTTTGATAGGTGAATCTGCGACAGATATAATATTCTAATCCCTTGTCGAGCAATGACAAAACTCCGTTTGACTGTCGGAGTGAACGGTCGGTATATGAGAAGCTCCGTTCAGCCGTACGCTATCCTATGTAGGTCTATCGCTGATCTGTCAATTTGCAAGAGACTTTGGTTTGTCAGGATGATCATTCACACGACTATGTGACTGTCATACTAGTGTATTTTCAGCATAATGCACTAATCGAGCATACGGCTTGAAGAATGAAGAGACTACATTCATCATTTTATCCATTTCAGGGCATTGCATTGCGTTGCTAATAAATAAAACTTTTTTGTGGTATTTCGGAATGACTACTGATGCCGTACTAGCGAAAAAAGAAAACATGGACTGGAGACAAGTCCTTTTTTTAAATCATGAACAAATGCTCCAAAACAAAGAGTTCACTGTCTGGTCTGATGGCAGTAAAATAAATGCTAACATATAAAAGTAAATTAACTTCCTGACTGGATACTGATGACTGCTGCTACATCAAAACCAAACAAAATCCCTTAATCCTTCGTTATTCCATGTTGTAGTTTTGCAAACATAATGAACTTCTTGTTGCATGCATGGTTGACACGTGGCTAAGAACAATGCCAGCTTAACGTACCCTTGACGAATCTGTATCACTCAGAAGTAAAGGCTTAATCAGCGTCATAATGTAATCCCTTCAAAGAAAAAGTCAATTTAGTTAAGTTAACTTATTTACTAACCAAAACTTACCAACTATCATGCACAGTCCAGCGGTTAGGCGTTTGTACATGTAGCGATGGTGGCGGAAAGTATAAAACGCGAATGTGTTGCTTATGATCATGATGACCATCGCAATTATGCTGAACACCGCTTGAGTACGATAGTAGTCTGAAAGAAACCGTAGTCAAATCTGTTACAAGATAACGGTGTTATTAAGAAATATCAGTCATTTGTGACGAAAATCTTTCATGCTCCAATGTACAGCGATAATGTGTAAAACTGGAACAAGATAGTTTTTCAATAGTATTGTTATCTCTTAGATTTAAGTGCTGGAATATTAACTACGGGAAAAGTATGATTGAAAATATTAGCTAAACTAACATCAGACATGAGGCGAATCGCTGACCTCAGGTGTTTTGACAGAAACCGGAGTTTAAATATCTCAGAAAGCTTTGGAGTACAGCCGGTAAGTCTTTAACTTGGGAAGTTACAGTTGTGACGATCTGAACACGGTTTGTGAATACCTTCAGTCATGAAGCCGAAACAGCCACTGTTTGCTCGACCGACCGGCCGAAGACCCCGGAAACAGCCAAGAATGACCTAGAACAAGTGTTCTGAGGGACTTTCCCTCATGCTCTGTTATCCTCTGCCAAAACTCAGGCGCTTTTACCGAACTGGGAACGCTGAAGAGACTGTCATACGCTATTACCGCTGTGACCCGAAAATAATCTGTCATCGAAGCCGACTAACAATAAGCGTCTTCATCTTCATCTTCATCTCCCATCGCCGCTTCTCCTTTCGGGTCGCGGAGGCAGACGCGTCAGACAGTGCTTCCAACGT